GTAGCCGAAAGAGCGCCAGCAGGATCCAAGATCGAATGGGCAGGAGGTGATTGCCCAGCTGGCACGCAGGAAGCGTCGCTATCTGGCAGGCCTCGCCAGTGAAGCCGATTGGGCAGTCGCAACGCGACCGCCACTCGTCGCAAGTCCCGTGGACTCCGCAGCCTGGAGCACAGCGGGGGGGGCGCGGCAGGCTCTCCCCACTGCCATCAATGTCGCCGCCATCGGGGGCCCTCTGACCCCCGCCACTGGATGGTGGACCACGGGTGTCCTGCGTCACGACGGCGACGTTCAAACGGTGGTGTATGCGCAGGCGCTTGACCATCGGAGATGAGCTGCACTGACGGGTCTTGGCGCCTGTTTGGTGCGTGTTACAAGCTGTTTTCGTCTTCACGCGCCTTCATCTTGACGCGCGAATGTCATGGGTAGACGCCCCACATCACCCTTATGATGCGCGGCATGCACACGGCGCTGGTACACTGATGCATCGTAGCTCACGCTACTTGAAAGCCTGTGAAGTTGGATTTTGCCGAGCCCCGTCGCGCCCCGACCAATCGCGTAGCGTGTCTATGACGTATGTGCATTTGGCGGTGGACTTTTCGGACACTGTGTGCGCTATTCACCTATTCAGAAAAAATCTATCCTAACGCGCGCGGCGCACCACACGCAACGCAACGCAACGCAACGCACGCACGCGCAGCACCACGCACCGACGCACCCCAGGGCTGCTCCACGAGACCTCGATGGAGTGTGGCCCCAGGCGGGCCCCCCCAGCCCGTGTGCTCTCGCCAGTCGTCCCGCTCCGTCGTGTGTATGCTCCAATCGGTCCAGTTGAGTGTCTTCACGCTGCTTGCGTCGCACCGGACGCTGCCGACGCGCTGGACCTCGCCGCTGCCTCAGCACCGTGCCGCCGCGGTGCGCTGCGTGGCTCCGGCCGCGACGCCTCTCGCCTCGCTGCTGGAGCCCGGCACGGGGCAGGGCGCTGCGCAGCGGCTCATCCTGGTCGGTGGAAAGGGTGGCGTCGGCAAGACGTCGAGCTCGAGCGCCATCGCAGTGCGGCTCGCCGACACGGGCCTCTCCACGCTCATCGTCTCGACCGACCCGGCGCACTCTCTCTCGGATGCGCTGATGCAGGACGTGTCGGGCGGCTCGCCCGTCGGCGTGGCCGGGTGCGAGAACCTGCAGGCGATGGAGGTCGAGACGGCCGACGCGGTCGACCGCTTCCGCGCCGCAGTCAGCGGCTTCCGCGCTGCCGACCTCGGGCTGGGCGGACTCGCAGAAGAGGTGCTCGGCCAGCTC